CAATAAATTTTGGAAATAATTTCGAACGATAACATCCAAAATCAGGGAAAAGTAAGAACAGATCAGGGAAGTAAGAACTAAGCATTAATAGCAAGTAACAATCTTGACAGTAACTTACATGATGTACACAGTTGATATACCAAATAAGACAGTATAATAATGTTTGTCCTTGTACTTTGAAAGAACCAAACCTAATCGTTTTGCTTGCTTTAGATCTTTTGGTAGTTTGAAATCAACTCTTTCATCGCTGAAATACACCAGAACATTAAAATGAGAATGAAAAATAAGCTGTCATCCAGAAATGAATTCATGAGAAAAATTGCAATTAAAATTCAGTTTTGATGGATCTTATTTCGACCCTCACAATAATTTGATTTGATATTATTGTAGCTCGCCAACTCAAATGATGTCAATAATAAAACGCAGACAAAGTTAGTTCAAGAAAACTTTTTTTCCTCAAGACTTCACATGCTAAATCTTCCAATACAAAGCAGTGTCCCTCATCTGTAAACTCAAATTTCAGCAGGAATAAGCAGTGCAGACAACAAATACTGAAAACAGTGGGTAATATTCCAGATATTTACACAATTAACAAATCGGACGGAAAATGGTATGCAACTTACTCAGTAAGTTCCGGAAAGTTGATATACAGCGTAAACAAAATTAAAAAAATGCTGAACAAAATACATGTTGGGAACACAAATTTGCTAAAAGCCATATCAGCAACAATATTTGGAATCCGATGAAACGTGTTAGTAATATATGTAATGAAATAAATAAAAGTTTCCCCTGAAATACAAAATCCAAAGCACCAGAATTTCCCGCAATCCCAATGTTGAAGCCTTTTAGCACAAGGACAAAAGATATGCCTCAACAAAAGGTTTACGACTTAATACCCACTCGACTTAATCTATAATTGTTACTGGACGAATGGACGATATCCAAAATAATTCCCACCCATGAATCCATCAAACACTTGAAAGAATCAATAAATATTTTAGCACCAAAATCCTTTCTTACTAAACAAAACATCTGAATCAATAGCAAAACACCGTATGAAACGTCACTGTATCACTTCTAAAAGAAAATTCACTAAATTTTATTTAAAAATCAATACCAAAACAGCAAACAACACGGGCCAAAAGACAGGAAAAATATAATAAACATAATAAAAATTTCAAGTGAAACCTTAACTTCAAGCTTCGCTTGAGCTTAATTTTTGGGAACTGCAAACTTACAAGTTGGAATATATTTCTGAAAAAAACATGTAAAAAGCTAAAAATAAAATGCAACATTTAAACATCCTTTTTTCGAAATCTATCAAGCACTGTTTTTTGAGAATCTTCCACCTTCACTGTTTCTTTCGCTAAAAATTCCTCTTCTAACTTCTTCCGTGCTTCGTTTATCATAAATCTTTGTTCGGACTGCACACTTTGCTTAATCTGTTCCTATAAAAAGACCAAAAATTCTTCAAAATTTATGTCTCTTACTAGGTATAAAAATGTCCAGACATGACTAGCTGACCAGTTCCCGAATTTCCATACCTTCCTCAGAGCACTGCCTCTTCCTTTCTTCTTATTCCTCGGTTTAAACTTCACTTCACGCGGTTTTGTATGGAGTAACAGTTTTAATCGTTCATTCTCTTTCTCAAGCAAATCCGTATTCACTTGTACGATTTCTGTAGTGTCCAAAGTAATCAGTTCCGGCTGAATCTAAAATACCAAAGTAATCAGTTCCGGCTGAATCTAAAATAAAGTATTTCAGAAATCATAACTAACTAAATTCAAACCATTTGTATTCTCACGATTCAAATTATTGAAGCCATAAACTACCTTATCTAAAAGCTGCTTCACTTCTCGTTCACGCCGTTGAGTTTTTGATTCATAAGGATTTGTCAAGAGTGCATTGAAGTTCGGTTCTCCGCTTCCTTCAAGTAACAAATGTGCATTTATTCTACAATTGAAAAATAGAATGTTTTCTAGAAAAAAATTTCTTTAATTGTTTATTTAAAACAGAGTTACCCGGCACAAGCAAACTAGTGAATCCATGTTGGTGTCCAACTCCAAGAACATCTTCATATGGACAAAATTGCAAGCTAGAAACTATTCCAGTGCACTGATGTGACATGTATGGTGCAGTAGTTGTGCCCAAATGCGCATCATTAAAAATCTGCAAAAAATTTTGATTTTAAAAACAATGATACCGAGAAATATAAGCTTATTTCACAATCAATTCTCATTGTCAGACATCTCTGAATATATAAAAATGAAAAAATACCTGAATTTGATTCCCAACGCTGCAAGAAACTGCATAACGCTGACTAAAAGATACTTCGGCCAATCCAAACGGTAACGTATAAGCATATAATTGTTTATAATTACGTACATCCCAAATCCTATAAGCGAAAATATTTAAAGATTAGATTACATTTTTGATGAATTCAACCCGTACAAACTCGAACTTACCAAAAACTAATAGCCGAAAAAACAAAAACTACCTAAGCTTTCGATCAAGACCAGTAGTAGCCATATAATCATTTTCCACAGCTATACCTCGTACCGAACACGGGTGAGCTAGCATTTTTATCAACGGTCCTTTAACATTTGGAGACCATAACTGGACTGTTCCTGAATACAGAAACCATAATGGTTCCACTCAATTTTCCTTATAAAAAATTATAAAGTCAATATGTGACACAAACCATTCCCATGCCCGGTATGAATGATAGCGTTGTTTGGATTCTGAGTCATTACATCCAGAGGTCCCTGCTTGGTTGGAAAAGATTGCACCATTTTGCCCATCGAAACATCCAAATAATGCAGAAATGACGTATTACTCTGTAAATATTGACATGATTTTATTGTGCGTCTATGAGTTATCACTTAACACTTCCCTTTAGAAATAATTTCTTCAGAAAATAATTCTTTAAACATATTTTTGATTCTTAATTTTACATAACGGTAACATGATTTTCGCAGTTATAGTATATCGTTTAATTTCAATAATAAATTTTCTAAATTATTGACAAAGAATTTCAGCTTACCCCAGCAACAAGAAGGAAATGCCTCGGGAGAAATTCCAGACGTTTGACATCATGCAAATTTTTTAAACAGTGTAGCTCTACACCCGTGTTGTCATAAATATGTGTCCATCTCTTTTGGGCAACAGCAAACATTGTTTCAACATGTAACCATCTGAAAACAAATTTAAAAGCTTATCTATTAAGTCATATCACTTCCCAAAATCTTTCTGTTTCCTGAATTCTAGAAAACTCTCTGCATATGCTTAAGAATTCTAAACATAGTACATTTTTTATTCCTTCCGTACATATATTTTTCTTTTCGAAAACTCCATACTTAACTACTCCTCAAAACTGCTCACCTGACATCTCGGACGCCTTCCATGACATTCATTTCACAATGGAGTGTTTTTGTTAACCAGTCGAACGCAGCAACATGTCCACGCTTACCACCAATTAACAGATGACGACCATTATGTATGTAATTGGCACGATATGGACCAAAACGCTCTAATCGCACATCAAAGTGCTGCAAATAGGCAACTCTTTGCATGACTTCTGTTGTATTAAGATCATAACTAACAGATGATGTTTTGCTTCTTTTAAAAAAGTGAAAACGGAAATGAATGACAAATTAACCTTGCTAGCACTTGCAATATCTACAGCATTGCATATATCTTCTTGCTTGACCGTATAAGTAAGTTCTCCTTTATCACCAGCAAGAAAACTACAAAAGATAGGCGTAATTAGTTGACTGTAATCATTGATCATTAAGAAGGGTCATAAATGCAAATTCAAATATGGGATTTATAAAATATCATTTTACCCTTCATGTTCACTATTGAGAATCTCCGCCCGTGCAATTTCCCTCGTCCTTTCCAGAAATCTTTTCCTTTTGGTTTCAAGCTTTGCTTTATGGAAACCTGTTTTCACATTTTCCTGAAAGTTGTTCATACCTATTAGATACGACTTTAAATGCATATGTTAGAATCGCATATAAGTTTCAATGCAATTAAGGACAATTCAGAACTTTACAAGTGCAAAAAAGCTTCAGAAGGGGCTGAACCCAACAACCTTCCTTATTTCTGAAACAAAGAAAAGAATGCATATTAGCAAAGTACTAATGGTTGATAACCACAAAAGCATTTTACCATCATTCGAGACAAAAATTACCGGATTAATATCTGCCGCACCGGTATCATGCCTTCTCAAGGCGTTTTGAGGTATGAACACTTCATGCCTGTCACTGGACTTTTTCTGGTCTTTCTCATAGACGAAGTTTTCTTCCCTGAAAAAAACTTTTGTAAATGCTTAAATCTGAAATAACATATCAAGTGCATCAACTCAGGCATAAAAATTAATGAGTCCAAGATGAAAATATGAGGAATGCTGACTTTATATAAGGCTGTTTTTTGGCTTTCGTCAAACTGACAAGTGCGCTTTTTGTAATAGAAAGGTCGATGATCTCAGTTTTCGTCTCATATTTCATCATCAGGTCGAAACAGTCCTGAAACACAAACCAGTCGTAACACCAGACTAAACCGACTACCAAAAGCCCCACTCATCTCACTCCGTACAACGTTCTCCCTGTATCACATCACTCAACGCTTACATTATATTGAGACAAAATGAAAATTTCCGTTGCAGTCTAAATTCAAATTTACAGTCTTTATAAAGTTAGCTCAGGTTTGATGTTTCGGGTTAGTCTGTTTAAGTGGGAGTGGTTTAATGATGCAGATGTACTGGAAGAAATATTTAAATGTGTGGACAAGTTTTATGAAAGTTAGTAATATACGATGCTTTAGTTGATGCTAACCATTAAACCGTATCATTTAATCAGATAATTGCTATAGTAATGGCAGTCTTATTTGACTTTTGATATATTTTTAGATAAATAAAAAGCCTTTTTTTAGTTTTATTTTTGCCTTAAGAAAATGGTTTTTACTGAAACATTTTTGGTTTGATTATTGAGGTAGTCGAGATGGAGTGTGATGTTGACAAGAAATTGAACGATGAAAATGCAAGTAATAAAACTGCAATTAATCCGGAAAATGTTTCATCGAAGAATAGTAGTGATGGAAAACGAAAGCGTAAGCGACCACGAACCAAAGCTCTTCGACGGACAATTAGAGAAAAGGTAAATTTATTTCACTTGTTCCGAAATGGAATATAGAAACTTCTTCAGAGATTTTAAGCTTATGATCGTAACCCCCTCGAATGCTGATGTAAATATTATATAGTTTAATCTTCTTCCGGATTTGTATTTTTGATATCCAAGCACTGGAAAGAGCTGGTGTTAAAGCATGGTTAGTCATTTCTAATTTCTATATTACAAATTAAATTTTATAAGACAGTAAAGGCAATACATTTTGTCTGGCGTTTGTATATAGCTCATTTACAGATTGAAATAGCATTATGTACGAGTGATTCGCCAATTCAGGATATCCTAGAAACAGATATGGACTGTATAGTAAGTGCACCGCTGTCATCGATAATTAAATTACTGAAGTTAGATACGGATGAATATCAAAAACTAAGTTGCAAAGCGCTTATTAGTATTGGGAATTGCTCAAAATTTTTTTCAATTACTGGTGATTCAACGGATACTCTTCAACTTGTGCTCAAAAGCAATGGTTTAGATCACAGTTCTACCGTTGTTTATGTTGTAAGTTTGTTTATTCTGATGATTTTTAATTAGATGAAATTGCCGGTTAGAAGAATTGTAATTTAACACTAACTACCAAACTTCGATGTCGATTTCATGTTTAGATTCACGTAAAGCTTCATTCAGCAGTGTAGCATTCTTCAAGTTTTTATGCATAATTCTTACTTCGGAATACATCAGTGACTCAAGTATTTTAACTGAGCTTTTTTCAGGACAATTTGCCTCATGGCTGTAAAGTGGATTTACTGGAAAAATGGGCGTCAGCATTTGGGACTGTTGTGTTTGTGCATCCAATAATGAAAAGAAAAATAAATCCGAACAAAGGTTCCTTGGCCAGTAATTTATCCACATCAGCTGAAGTATCTGCATCTACTGCATGTACCGGCGGATTTTTTCAAAGTGCTTTCATCAAATTTTTGGATGAACAATCTCCAGTGGATTTTGTGAAAGTATTGTTTGTTTTATTTTGAAATTCGTTTTGTATCTGTAGTAGTAGCAATACTGTAGTTGTTGGTAAATGCCCTCAAAAATTAGATATTGTCTGGAGAGTTTGGTTATTCGAAGTAAGCCAAGTTTCCTTTTTTCTGGTCTTATGTGGCAAATTATAGTTTCATCAGTTGTTGCGGAAGAAAGCTGGTAGTAGACGACGCAAAAAGCTGAAGTTAGAGAGGAAAAAAACAATGGGAAGGAATTCCGTTTCAAAGATTAGGAAGAAGAATAAGATGCGAAAGAAGCAACCAAGAAAGAAATCGAGAAAAAAGGTCGATAGCAGTGCTAAAAGTCAGACACAAAAGGTCAAAAATGGAGAAGGTGAGATTTCTGGAGATTTAGGAACTGTGCAGTTTTGGTTCACTCGGTTAGGATTTAGTTAGTATGGTTCTAAAGTACCTTTAATTTTAAGGACGGGAAGTGGAATTATGAGGGAGCAAAAATTGCTGCTTTTTTCATCTCACATATTATTTAGTAATCAAATCACTTTTTTTCGAACTTGCGGATCTTTAATATGGTTTAAAGTAGTTATTGGGAGTTATTTCAGTTTATTATACACTTTATATATATCACTGTATAAATTTATACTTTAAATGAATTTTGAGTTCAGAGACAGTAGAAACCGGAGCAACCTATGCTGAAAAACCAGCAATGGGTGTGGATAATTCTAGCGTTATTGTAAGAGATGAAGATGGAAATTGCAGTAGGCGGAAGAAACGAAAAAGGCGATTAAGCTATGGAGTGGATGATATATTAGTTAAAAAACCCAAAGCGATTATTGATGAAAGTAATAATTCTAATTTAATATTTATAACGACGCCTACAGCAGATATAGGATATTTTATTCGGATTTTTTTCTTTACTTAAATCATGAATAATGTTATCTAAAATTTTTGGAAGCTATTCTGCAGTAAAGTTAAAAAATGAATGTTTTAGTGCAAAATGCTCTACAAAACGGTTTACGATAGAACTTATTTGACAGTTACTTTGATGGGAGGCCCTAGCTGCATCCAAACGCATCACAGTACTAGGAATGAGGGATATTGGTGTTGCAGAAAAGATTGGAATAGAAGATGCTAAAGCAAATGGGTTTAAAAATGCTGGTCTAAAAAAAGCTATAAAAAGTGATGTAGCTGAAGGTGATCATGAAATTAAAGACATTAAAATGGAAGCTGCTCATCGATTCATGATTGTGAAGCATATAAAAAAATTAAAAGTTATAGTTACTGATGAATCATCGGAAAAAACGTTCAGAGATGTTGGAACCGATGTTCCTGAAGAGTTTTTATTGAGCGAAGTTGGTGCTGCTGCAAAAAAGTGCGAGTTCAAAAGTTCATTTTATTTTTAAATTTGTTCCTAGACTATCAGAGTAGGAGTTATTTAGTCGGTAGTTTTAATTTTGAAAGCTTGTATTGAAAGTAGTCGCAACACATTTATTCTAGACGGAAACGTGTACATCGGCAAAAACGACGCAGTGATAAGTCAAAAAATCGCAACCTACGTCCGAAGAAATATTTTCATAATATACAAGCATGTTCATTGTAAGAAAATTTTCTCCTAAACCTTTTTTGCTGTCTTCTACTTTACCAAAATGTTTCATTTGAATCTTATTTAATATTATGCACTTCTTTGTGACAATTTCTGTTTATCTCCACTAGTTACTACTTTTTTCCAGGAACACATTCCAGAAACTGCGTGCAAGATATCTGGAGTTGCAGAAACAACAAATGATTCAACTGAAAGCCAATTTGAAAAAAAAAGGCATACCAAGTAAAGTGTCAGGTTTGAGCAGAAAGGAATGGAAAAGGAAACGTGGACGTTGTCGAGTAAATTTTTTTATTGTATTTTCCGCTTAATTTTTACTTTTCGATTTTTTCGATTTCGATTTGACTTCCGTTTTTAAATCCGATTTAATTGCTGATGAAGCTGTTATTTTCAGCTTATGATGCGCGCTGCAAAATTGCGCGAAAAATATGCAGATCTCTCTCATTGCATCCCCAAGGAGGATAAGCTTGCAGTTGTCCAAAGTTAAGTTCAAGAATTTGATGAAAATTTTTCTATCATTGGTTATTCCTTGTGTTTAAAGTCACTTTTTTTATTTTTCCATCACTTTTCTCATTTTATAACGTATCACTGTGTATATCTTTTTTTTAAATTTTCGAACTTTTGGAAAGGGTATGAGTTTATTCATTGTGGAATGGATGAATTATTCAATTTAATTAAATAAATGACTTTGGTTGTGCAAAATATTGTTAATCTCTATTCACTGCTATTTTCTAACTGCAAAGAACAATCTATTTTTTTTTTTCAAATTTTAAAGTGCACTCTGAATTTAAATTTGTATTTGTAATGATTGCATTTATAATAATTAGATGAAAAAGTCTGCGAAATTTACCCGGTCTTATACAATAATAAATTTCTCATGGTGCTGAATAAAACTGGTTTTGTGAAATACTGTTGAGATTGAATTACACTAATTTTTACTTCACAAAAGATCTAAGCAAATGATGTGATGTGCATGTAATGCACTAAACTTTCATACAAAGAAATAGTGGTAAATGAGAAAATAAAAATACCTAGAAATGATGATAGAATACAGTAACATCATTTAGAAACATTGCGACTTTCACGACTGCACAACGAACCATAGAGGTTTACGGCAATAGTCAAGTTTTCTTTCCCGATATTTCAGATTTTTAAACAATCCGGGAATCTTAAACATGAAACATATCAATCCCCTTTCTATGGGAAATTTTCTCCTACCAAATTTATTGGAGATTTTGGGAATCTGACTGAAGAAATGAAACTAGTTTTACATGATAATTCATGTAGATGAGGCAGTATAATATACAAAGTTGTGAAGGGAGTTATGGAGTTCATAAATTATATGAGATCTATGTAGCAGTTGATCGATCAGAAATGGCCGCAAGCATGAGATTAAAAATTTGGAAAATCCAATCCATATTGAAAAGTGATTTTTTAGAATTTAATATAAGTGACGAAAGTTTGTTATAATTTTTAAATCAAAATTCCAATGAAATTTCATGGATTATTGTTAGGTTTGCGGTCATCACGGTACAACAGGAAATACACATAGATAAAATGTAACATTTTCAGTTATGACAGTTTTTTTTTTTAATTTGTTTGATTAAATAAGAGGAAATATCTGGAAGCTTGACGTAACCTTATCCTCCTTACATCAAATGTTATGATCAAATCAAATCAATCTATCTTCTTCTTACCATTATCCCAGCAAAATTTATGATTATTCTGAATTTTTCAAATTATTAGATTAACAAATATAAACAGATAGAAATACCGTAATAAAATTCCTGAGAAAGGAATGAAATAAATTAGATGTAACAAATAAATAGGATTTTTTTTTTTTTTTTTGTTTGTTTTTGGTGCCATTTATTTCACAGTGCTGTTAAAATTGAGCGATATGTTTGTGTTTTGGATACGAATGATAATAACACGAAATAAGTGCCGATAGGAAATTTTCAGCAATCATTGAGGAAGAAATCATGATTTCTCATGATTCACTTCATTTTTTAGATGAAGTTTCGGCGAATGGATCATCTTTAGCTTCATCGTGAACGATTGGAGCAATCATTTGGACAAATTCCTCGTAGTTGATCTCAAAATTTTTGCTCATTTTACATCATTCATATTTCAACATTTATAATATGTATTTTTGAAAAAAAAAAAAAAAATGTCAATTATTCAAACAATTTTAATTAGCATATAAATTATGATATTGTCATATTATATGTTGCATATCTGTGTTTTCTTAAAATTTTATCATAGCTTAGCAAATCTATTTCATTTCATAAAATTTCATCATTTAAAATTTTAACACTGACCTGTTCATCGCCATCTTTATCAACTTCTTGGATAATTTCATCCACTTCTTCTTCGCTAAATTTTTCACCCATCGTTGTCATGAAATGTTTGAATTCTTGAGCCGTGATATATCCGTTACCATCTTTATCAAAAACTCTGTAAAAATTTTACATAATAAATTTTGTTAGATTAATTTAAAAAATTAAAAAAAGTTCGAGAATTTTGAATCACTTCATCATTTCGGAATGTATATCATTCTGAAATTATTTTCGTAATTCCTATTATCTATCCGTTAGTCTAATCGTGATAATCAATTTTATTCCGTTTATTTTGCGATATAATATCATAACCCAAACTATTCCGCTTAAATTCAGTTGCATTCAATAAGCATTCTAGCCATTCTTTGTTTGCTTTGAGCTTTTTAAGATATTTACCTGTCCATCTACTTTCTCATCAATGCGTAACCATTGTCATTTCCTCACTAGGCTGAAAATACTGTAAGTGCTTTGAAGAGTTTTTTTTTTTTTTTTAAATTCTTAAACTTAAAGTGATTTATCATCCTTAATGTGAGAAAAACAAAAAAAGAAAAAATTAAAGCAGAAAAAGATATAAAAGGTTCAAATATTTTATGCCTTTTTGTCAATTTTTTTTTTTTTTTTTTTTTTTTTTTTTAAAGAAGGAAATGCTTTTCATCATGGAATTGGTAAATGCATACATGTAATGGGTAGGATCAGATTTTTCTTTTTTTTTTTTATTTTCGGTGATATGATTTTTTTTGAATTAGCCAGAAATAGAATGACTTGCTTTGTTTATTTATAAACTTTTCTATTATATTTTAATTTGAAAATGTTATTATATGGAGAAATTGATAATTTGTACATTATTACTGTTTGAAATTTTTATTTTCTTGAACTATTTGATAGCTTTAAATTTAAGAATGTATTTAATTTAAAATCAAAATATAATCCGATGTTGAGTGATAACTAAGTCATTTTATCTTATAACTTCACCTGAACGAACCATTATCGTAAAAATTGAATAATACAAATGATTGATGAAAAGCATACATACTTAAATGCTAATCGTATCAATTCTTGATCCGTTTCTTTGCTCATTTCTTTCATCATTTTACAAAATTCAAAAAAATCAATTTTGCCATTGCCATCCACGTCATATTCATTAACCATGTTGAGTAACTCTTCCTCAGTTGGATTTAATCCGAGAGTACGCATTGCTACACCTAATTCTCTGATATTCATCGTACCATTACCATCTTTATCGAACATCTAAATATTTTAGCAGTAAATTAATTACATTCACTGTTGGTGCATTTACTGTTAATTGGCACTAAATTAGAATTAAATTCGATTTTTAGATAAAAAAGAATATAGAGCAATTGACACTTTCATGCAAGCGTTATCATCAAGTTGCATTACAATTCAGTTGTAAGAAATGACATAAAAAGGAATTATCAGAGTAGGGAAAGTGGAGTGTTAAAAATTGCAATATAATTTTATCAAATGATAGAAAAAAGAAGGAAAATTAATTTGTTAAAAAGTTTCTAATTTTTAAACTTAAAGCTACTGAAAAGATTGTTTCAGGATAAATCCAAAAAAGAAAAAAGGAAAAGTTTTCTAAATGTCTAGCTGCAAATTTGCTAAGAATTGAAACTATTTCTAATAAGACCTTAAATGCTTGTGCAAATTCTTGCAATTCTTCCGGTGTAAAATCGTCCTGTTCCGTTGCAGCTGATGAATTGGTATATCGACGATAAATTTTCGGCTCATCAAGATGTGCGGATGAAGAATATGTTGGTTCTGTGTTATGAACTGAAAACTGACCTTGCTACTAAAAGAAAAAAAAAAAAATGAAATTTTAGTACAATTCGAGCAACAGTTCGTTAAATTTAGCATCATTCTTTTTTTTTTTTTGAAAATTATAATTTTGATAATTTTATGCATTACTAGTGATCAGTGCATTTCATCAATAGTAACAATCTGATAATTCGATAAGATTGTATTTGCAGAAATTTCAAGCTAGCAGTGAAAAGAAAGTGATTAAAAAAAAATGCATGTAGAAGAACAATGAACACAAATGCATGCATTAATTAGTGTGAATTCGTTAATATACTAATATAACAGATAGAACGGAGGAATACTTGGCATCAGAAAATTTTTTCAATTAAAAATTTCGAAAATTTTAATTGGTTTTTCGAAAAATAAAAATTTTGATTGAAATATTTGACAAATTATTTTGCCAGGAAAAGCTAATCAAATGTAATGGATGATCAAAATAGTGGTTCTATCAATCAATTTGATAACTGATCAAAGTAAAAGAATGTTTAATATTTTGAGATGTGAATATTGAACATTTTCAAAAAAAAAAAAAAAATCATAACGAGACTCATTTCAAAAAATAGATTTTTTTCCTTTTTTTTACAAAAATTTCTGCTTCTCTCTCTCTATAAAAAAAATCCATTAATACGAAAGTTCTAATGATTGTTATACGAGCTCTAATTTCTCATGCATGAAACTTGGAACTGCTATCTCAATATATATATATATATATATATACTTTCGATATACTTTTCTTTTATATCCAGAAAGAAGAAGAGGAAATTTCGGAATATTTATTGAGGAAAAATGAAATGACATTCAGCAAAAGCAATATTCAAACATATATTACATAACTCATATATTATATATGTATGCATGTATAATCGATTATTTATAATTAATTACTTTTATCTACCAAAAAGTATCATATATCATCAATGTAGTATGAGCTACATGTTACTTTTTTCTGTCATTCTTGCTATAATTTTTAAAAAAGTTATAACATTAATGAATAATAAATATAAAAACTAATTTTTATAAAATTAGAATAATTTGAAAGATTAAAGAAAGCCTTACTTGAAAATATGAAAACTTTTGAAAGGATTGTAAATTTTTCAATCCAAATACACAAACCTGGAGGTGTTTCAGTTTGTATACTATTAGTTGTTGTAGCTATTCCTCCATTATTACTTTCATTGGAGGATGAGGTGGATGTACTTGGTGGACTTTGAAATACACCCACCATATGGACAATATGACCTTTGGCTGGCACAGCAAGAGAAGCATCTTGTGATGGTGAAGGACAAGATGGTGGCAGATCTTGACCACTCTGTGACCTAAAATTCATTTTCAT